TTTGCATGAAATCATAAAAAAAAAAGTGGATACATTTTGCCAACAGAAAAATAGTCCTTCTCAAGGGGAATAATTGCTAGAATAGTTGGGCATATCTTCATGTTGCAATTTTTCTAACTGCTAGCCATGTATGTAAGTAAACCATGGGAAAAAAAAAAAAAAAAAACACAAAAAACCAAACCCAAACAAAACCCCCAAAACAATATACAGACCAAACTATCATAGCATTTATCATAGATTGAAAATTGATGTACTAGGTCACCAGATCTGGGATAGCGGCTCCCTCATAGGCAGATCTTAATTATATTTATGAAAAGGGCAGGTTTTCCAATATCTTCTTGACAAAACTGGAGGAGTGGAAATGACAGGGGGTGCAATACTACCCACTTCACTATGAGAAAGCAAAAAACCCAACAAACCCAGACAAAAAAGACTCCAACATTGAAACAACACAAAAAAAACATGTTTAACTGTGTGCGAATGGACAGGAGGAGAGAGCCTGGGGAAGGGTAGCAGCCCTTCAGAGGTAAGTAGACTCATTTTAAGGAGCGGGGTTTTAAACATGACTAAAAGTGCAGGCAAGACAAGAGAGTTTGCTCTTCAGAAGGGGCCCCAGGAATGCCAGGCCCACAGGCAGCCGCAGGGCCGGGCTGGGCTCCCGGCCGGTGGGACAGATGATGGCTGTTTGTACCCTCCACTGCTCCCCTTTGGAAATGCTAACTTGGTTATTCAGCGTGTCCTTTGATGTCCTGATAGGTGCTATTAGATAGTCAATTAGGCATCAACGAGATCGATTGTTTGGGAATAGATGCTTTTCTGTTTGAAGTACCCGTGAACACTAACAGTGCCATCACCCCGCCGCTCCTTTGCCCACGGGAACAATGCGGGCTAACACACAATAAATGACAAATGCTACTGACTCAGCCGGCAGCGCTTCACCCTCTTCCCTCCCGACTCACACGCTGCAAGCCCAGATATCCTCATTCAGCGACTGCAGGAATAAACACGCACTTTGCATTAAAAACAATTTATCGGGGAAATATTTCTGTGTGCTTTGCAGAACTAATGGACAAAGAACCTAGATAAATTTAGTACAAGTTAGCTCGAAACAAACTTGAGTACTTGAATTTCTATGTACCCCATCGCCACAGTGCCTGAGGACTTGTGACACCTCCACAGTTGTTCAGAATTGCCCAGGCAGGATAACTGGGAGCTGAAATAAGAATTAAAGCACTCAGCTTACCTGAATACCAAAGAGACGCTGGGATTAGCTCCCTACTTGGTACAATTAGAGGATAACACTAGGTTGAAGTCTAGGAGTTTAAAACACAAATACAAAGGAAGAGTAGTAAAATCTACACAAGGAACATGTCGAGACCAAGAAGTCTCTCCTCTTTCTTCCCCCCTCCACTTTGGTGGGATTTATCAAGTTAATTGTCATCTAATTGAGTATCAAAGAAAGAGATAATGGGCAGCAATTAGATGTAATGGCCTAACAGTGCGAGATCTCTCTCGATTAGCACACAACGCCGTATAACTTCACCTAGTTTGTAAAGAGGTCCCTGGAGCGGCTCCACCATGTCTAGGAGCTGCAGGGGGGTGGTATAGCCCGACCCTATTCCAAATCCTCTGATGGCTGCTGTAGCCAAATTGGGACGGGCGGTTCCGAGCGCGGTTGCTGGCGGCTCCCCCGCCCCGCGGCGTTAATTCAATCAGGTTTCTCCCCCTCCGCGCACGCACTGCAGGGGAGAAGGTCTTTGAAGTTAGCGCTCTGGCAATTGTCCCCTCCCATCCCCTTTACCTCCCCGGGGAGCCCAGTTTCAGATTATACAGCTCTTCCTCGAGAGCCGCCGGGCCGGGGGTTCCGTCAGTTCCACCCCACGAGCATTAAACTACTCCTCCCCAGCTAATCGACCGGGCTTTTTTTTTTTTTTTTTTTTTTTTTTTTTTTTTTTTTTTTTTTTTTTTTTTTTTTTTTTTTTTTTTTTTTTTTTTTCTCCCGCCTTTCCCCGTTCCCATTTGTAGCTCAGCTGCTCGCACCGCTTTGCGGTGCCGGAGAGCGTTCCTGTGCTGGGTTATTTGGTGCCATTGAAGACACAAAGGCGGGGTGCTCCCCGCCGCGCTGCCGGGGATCGGCTGCCGTGCCGGAGCCGAACCATCCCATCCCATCTCCTGCGAGGGGCTGATACCGTGCAGGTATCACTGACGCTTGTGCCCCTTTACTGCTGCCAGGGCTAAAATACGGTGAAGGAGAAATTCAAACAATCAGGAATAAAGCATGAAGTCCGAGTTTCTTTCTCTCAGATCAAAGGAAAAACTTGCATTCACATTTTAATGCCAGAGTCGGACAGCTTTAGCAAAAATGAAATTACTTCACATAAAGCTTTCTAGACAACTGGAACGTAGTAGTTGCCTTCTAGAGAGAGCCGATTTTTGAAGGTAGGAGAGAAATTATCACGCAGACATTCGGAGGAACCTGATACCATTAGGAACTCAGCCAAGTGAGCATCACGTCTCGCGTTCACTTGAGCAATTACCGGGAAACAACGGTATTTGCCAGCTAGCCCTGCCAAAGGCAAGGTATTTCATGTGCTTGCTGAATATACCTGCGGCTAAGGAGTCATTATGTTAAGTGAGCATTAGCACCCTTTCGAACAGAGATCGGCTTCTGCTTCGCCAGCCGTTCCGCAGCTCGTAGGCCCCGAGCTGGGATGCCCCGTTATTCCCGCTAGCCAGCGCTCACCTGGCACGGGAGCGCGGGGAGCCGCACGCACCCAGCCGGCACGCCGAGCCTGCATCCCCGAGAGCGCCCCGGGGCTGGCGCCGCTCGGCCTCGCAGCCCCGCGTGTCCCAGCGTGGTCCCCGCAAACCCCGCGGGCTGAAATCACGGCAGGGACGGCAGCGCTGCGTGTTGTCCCGGCAGAGCAGGGCAGGGCCGGCCCGAGCCGGGCAGAGCAGGGCAGGGCAGGGCCGAGCCGGGCAGGGCAGGGCAGGGCAGGGCAGGGCAGGGCCGGGCAGGGCAGGGCAGGGCAGGGCAGCCTGGGGCCGGCTCCGCGCTGCTCGCCCGTCGGACGGGACAGCCCATCCCGGCGGCTGCAGCCCCGAGTTACGAGCCCCGGAGTGGGGAGGGCAAATCCAGGGGATGAGAGCTCGTTCAGAGCCGCCCCAGATCACTTCTTACCGGGGACATGGGGACCAGATAAGGGAGTGCTCCTTTTCAGCATTGGGGTGGGGGGGGGGGACTACAACATCCTCCTTCCCTGCACAAACTCCATCCCCGCGGTTCCCCTCGCAGGAAACAGTTCCCCTCCTCCCGCGGGAGCACTTTGTTCTGCCTCTCCTCCCGAGCCTTCCCATCTGTCTCTCACTTTCCCCGGGCTCAGCTGCGGCCCATGCTGCCCATGCCTACTTCCCTTTAACCCTCCCCCATTTGGCCCGGGCTGGGCGCTCCCGGAGCGCTGCGGGTCGTCCCGGTGCCCTGAGAACGCTCCGTCCCTTCACCCCCAGCTTCCCACACCGGCTCTTGCTTCTGAGAGCAGGAAGGGTTATTACGGTTTCGTAGGAGCTGAGCAGAGCATTTGGAGGAGTGGTGGGGCTCTCTTCTGTGGCCAAACGAGATTATAAGGGGAACATCTAACCCTTCAACCATTCCTTCCTTGAAAATAGAATAGCCACATGGAGTCTAAAGCTTAATACTTTTTTTTTTTTTTAACGGTAAATTGTACATTTATTGGCCTTTACTGTTTTGTTGTTTTAAACATTACTGTTTTAGAGCAGAGGAAAATATTCAGGATTGCAGATCTTTCTGGAGACACCCCAGTTCACTAATGATGTTTGAAAGAGAGATTTCTTCAAATCAATATTACCGTTTTATGACACCTGACTTTGAGAAACAAGCCTCCATTGAATGGGAATTTTACCTACACGTCAACAAATTTCTTTAGTCCATAACTGCATAATTTGCCTGAGATCTCAACAAGATTGATAGCGCTTTTTAGCTGAGACTCTTGCATTAGAGACACACAATTTGTGCAATTGCAAACAAATACTAATATTTCAAGACTGGAAAAATAAAGCATAATTAAAAAAAAAAAAAATCAAGGAGACTTGCAGAGGTGACTGCAAAGCCAGCTGCCCACAGCATCACATACTGTTGCTTTTTACCAGGCAAGGGTACTCGAGTGGCAGATTGGCCTCTGTATACAAAAGATATTCAAGGAGAGTGACAGAGATTTCTCAGAGCATTCATTACAGGAGTTTAAATTGCCAGTGTGCCGGAAATATCCTTGTAGCCCCCCAGATCACCTCTAAAGTAATGGAAATTTTTATTGCTCTTTTCATGTTAGTTGACAATTAGCTTCGAAAGATTTATGTCAACTTACAGTCAAAGATCATTTCTTCTCAAGAGCCCTTTTTCTGGCCTGAAATCAGGCCATTTTGATCATCCGTTTACTAGTTCATTATCCAAATTTTAAAAGTGCATAGCAGTGGTAAGGAATTTTACTGCCACTTATGGAAAACCAGCTTTGGAATGTTAAAATTCTTTTGATCATCACCCTTATACCCTGATAACTGCATGTGAGATGACTAGATACTGTTTCATAGATAAGAAATTTCAAGATCCTTTCCATGATCTGTTTAGGTAAGAGGTTCTTACTAATCTACTGAGGCAGCTCAATAAATCATGAAGATATAATACTTATTTAGAAAGCAATTTTTTATATCTAAAAAGCATCTGTTGTGCTATAGCAAGCCCAGTATTGAGTAACAGGTGTATCCAAATATTTGGCTAAAAGCACAGTTCCATGACAGGGCTGGGAGACCTACTTTAGAAGACAGAGGGAAATTCACGCTTTTTTGCATTCAGCAGCAGAGTAAATTGCAGGTGGGGCAGAACAAATCTAGATAAGGAGTCTATGTTTCTTTAAGGAAGAGGAACTTTCTTTTGGGGCAGGATGATTACCTCTACAATCCTTGAGAAAGGAATTCACATGAAAGCTGGAAAAAAATAGGTTTATTAAAATATTCCATTTATATTATTGTCCCACCCCGTTTATATTTTACAATTTCCTAAGAATGCAAGGGCCTGAAGTCCATGATTCAGATTGTCCAGCATATCTTTGTAAATGTTTCGATTGGTGCTGCATCATAACTCCTCCAAGCAGTTACGGACGAGGGCAGCCCAGGTATCTGTTAGTAGTGCAAATCCTCTTTAGTCCTAGGTGTATCAGAGGGTCAGACACCCAGCAGGAAGGCCCTGGGGTCCCGGTACCCCACAAAGCAGGGTGCTGCCCAAAAGCCGACTGGCTGTGCTCTGCAGGCGCTGCTGAGGTCCAGGGCGGGTGCCGGCAGGGCCGCCACAGGGAAGGCCTCGGGGGCCGCCCCTTGCCGGGGCAGAGCTGGCGGCCGGGCCACGTACGTGAGCGGCAGGGGCACCACAGCGCCCTGAGGTCCGTAAGGGAGAGCGGGGCTGCAGAAGGGCTCCGTCCTCAACTCCTGCAGCTGCCGCTTGAGCTTCATCCGGCGGTTCTGAAACCAGGTCTTGATCTGGAGGAAGAGGACAGGGGAAGGAGGAAAGACAAGGTTACAAACGCCACTCAGACTTGATTATCTCGCTGTTTGGAGCCGCGCCGCCGCCAGCGCGCCCCGCTCACCTGCACCTCGGAGAGGCGCATCCTGCCCGCCAGCTGCCGGCGCTCGGCGGCGCCCAGGTACTGCTGCCGCTGGAAGGAGCTCTCCAGGGTGCTGATCTGCTCCGCGCTGAACGCCGTGCGCAGCCGCCGCCCGCCGCGGCCGCAGGGCTCCTCCGCGCCCGGGCACTCGGGACCCTCCTCTGGCACGGGCTGCCCCGCTGCCGACGGCCTCCCGCCTGCTCCTGGGGACAGGGACGAGGAGGAAAGGGTCAGCCAGACCCGGCACCGCGTGGGGAACCGCCCGCCCCCCTCCGTCCCCGAGCACCCCCGCGCAGCGCTGCCTTGCCCGGCCCGGGGTGTCCCGGCCCCGCCGCCCCCGGCTGCCCCGCGGTACCTGCGGCGGGAGCGGCCGCCGTGCGCTCCCTGCTCCTGCTCCTGCTCCTGCTCCTGCTCCGGCCGCCGCGCCCGTCCCGCGGGCCCGCGGGCCGCTCCTGCCTCCGCTCGCTCCGGCCCACGCTGGAGCCGGAGCCGGAGCCGGGCCGGTGCCCCGCGGACGATGCTCGGTGTGGGGAGCCCTCGGTGGAGCTCTTGAGAGCTTGGCTGCTCTGAGACAACCATTCCACGGAGAAAGGGGCCTTAGTCATCGTGCTGTGTTTCGCAGATCCCAGGAAGGAGGGTGTCGAGGAGCACGGGCCTCTGCTTTATACCGCAACTCCCGGAGGAAAACGTTGTTTGTGTAAATACACATCAAAGGGCCAGATAAGTATCATCTAATTGCTATCAGTCCTCCCCCCCAACAAAAGATATCGTTCACACATTGCCCCAGCTCGCGGAGGCCCGGCTCCGCCGTGTCTGCCCCTAAGGAGTTCACTCCGCCGTCAGTGATTTACAGCTCTTGTTACATCCTATCCCCATGCAAATGGCATTTATGGAGCTGAGCAGCCTCAAACGGCGCTGGGGAATGTACCCCCGGGGGAGCGCAGCATCCCCGGCCGCTGGAGGGAGAAGGGACCCTGCCACTTCCGATCTCCCTTCCCCGGAGTTGCTTTTCCATTCCTTTTCAGGCACCAGGCCCACTGTTCTTCTCAAGCTCCTCTCTGGGCTGAGCACTGCATTCCCGAGGCAGCCTCAGCCAGGCAAGCGGAGAAACGCATTCACTGGGTTCTCCGGGATTGCAGCACCACGCACTGAGTAGTTTGGAGGAGAAGGTTGTGAAACAGAAAAAGGTAAATGTCAAGGTCATTGGATTCCACCAATCGACAGGCTTCTGGTCGTCTTTATAAAAGTATGGTTTCTGGACTAACGAATCAGGAAATGACTATTACTGCTGTGGATTTCACATTCTGCTGAGAGTTCTGCTGAAATTACAGAATTCATGTCATATTTTCCCTCCCAGATCTCTTGCACTTATGCAGGTCATCCACATTTCTCTGCTATCTTACCTGTCCCTTTTTTTCTTCTTACTACCTTATTCGTGTCTTTCAGAAATGTTCCCATTCATCTTTGGGTTTTGTAGGCCACAGAACACTTGATTGCTGCAGTAAAGCCTCTGTAGTACATTGACAAAAGGCTCCTGGTGCTTTATGGGCAGTTTTTCACTGCAGGGTAGCCATGAATTCCATCCCCTTTTCACCCTCCTGTCCTGTGCAGGAACAGAGTGGGACTTCCACTGCATTGATAATTCCCATCACAGCCCTGCTTGGTATCAGTCTGCCTCCGGAGATCATGATTCATTCCACATCTCATTTATCTGTCCTTGTTCTTGCCTGCTGCTTTACACTCACCTTCCACCTGCAGGCAAACCCAGTGCTCTGTTTCTGTCTACCCTGTGACTTGGCCAACGTGCTATTCTGCCGCTCTGGCTGCATTTCTCAGCATTCACTTTCTCTGTGGTAACAGTTACTGTAACCACAGTTCCACCTCTTTCTAAGACTGTTGGTGAGGCAGAGGTTTGAAGACTGAAACCCCTCCTAAGTTTATGTCTAAATCTTTCAATGTATTCAATTTTAATATTATACAGATTTTAAAAAACTTATATTAATCCAGTAGAAGTTTCATTAAAATCCTCTTTGTCAATCTTTTCCTAAACCAAACATTTCAACTTCTTGTCCACTCCAAATACAGTTGTTATATCCATTCATTGAGAAATCCTACAGTTTTTTGTTCACTGGAAAATTGTTTAATTGAACTATATTCAAGTTTGACTTGTGAACCTCTTTTAGGCTCTGTCATTGATTGTTCATGGCATAGCGTGAGTCCTACTTTGCTCTACCAGTGGTGACACTGTTCAAGAGTTTGTCTCTAGCCAAACAAAAATAGAAACACGATTGTCACCTTTATTTAAAGGTGTCTAATAACCAATCTATAACCAAAACATAAATGACCAGAACTCTCCTGAGGCCCTTTGTCTCGCCTGTGTAGGTAGCAGTTGACATTGCAGCCTGAGCCCACTAAACAAGCTTCCTGGGGGAAAAATGGTGTAAAAATGTGTAAATAAATATTCAAGCATTAATGCCTCCTATATACATTATCTACCTGAAGAAGTCCACCAACACTTCTAGCATGGACAAAGCCTGTGGGAAACACACTCACACAGATACACACATATATACACACAAACATACAGACACACACACATATTTGTGGTGTTTTTTCACCAAACAAATATAATTGTTTGATATCTAAATATTTGAATCCTTATCCATTTATAATTCCCAAGTATTTTCCAATTAACAATGGAAAGTTTAGAAAGTTTATTTGACCAGGCAGTACAAAATTGCTTTTATATTTCCTGTTTTATAACAGACACTGCCACCAACCCCCCTACCCCAGTTTGAATATTTCCTATTCTTAATTGTTCTTTTCTTTAGGTAAATGTGAAGACTTCCCCCACCACAGACCTCAGTATAAATTATAAAATCCAAGAACTTCTGAGCATTAGACAGTTCTGTTGGCAACATATGTCACAGAGCAGACCAAGCAGGCATGAGATGGAGAGGAGACAGAGGAATGTGCTCTGTTCACTGAATTACTGAAGGACAAGTCTCTTGACTCAGCTGCATTGACACGTGGCCTGGCAGCCAGGTCTCCAGTCAGAACTGGGAATTTCAGTGCCACTGCCTTCTTGCAGAATCCTGCCAAGCCTCCCCTGCAGTCAGGCAAAATGCCATTCTCAAGGACTAATTCTCAGGAACATCAGAAAAAGAAAGTGTAGCTTTTCTGCAAGCTTCCTTCTCAATTTAAGTATTTCTGATCACTGTAACAGCATTCTGCATCACAGATGGGGCACAATCCCATCCCAATGAGATAAATGTCCCATGTACCCAGAATTATTTCCAGTCTTACAGAATATTATGTATAAATATAAACAATATACTTGTACCCTATGTGTGTTCTTCTATATAACATATATCTATATTCAAATACTTATAAAAATATGAAAGAGTCTATTTCCATGACATTACCTTTTCCAGCTTTATGCCAACAAATAAAGACACTTGGCAAGCTGTCATATAGGACAAAAAGAATACATGACTTATGATGGAGCTCTAAGAATAGAAAATATTGAGTTTTATCATCCTCTGATACATCTGCCTTTACTGATTTGAAGACATTTTACCATCTGAGCTGCAAATTACATCTTTATACACTGCTGGTTTATTAATTGCATTGTATTGAAGCAAGTGGCACTGCAGACAAGATGGTGTCAAATGCTGATCTCCCAGAGACACAAATTGATCATGGTGTGACAAGATTAAACCAAATCTCATTTCCATTGCACATAAAATGTGTAAGTCTCCTGGACAGGTAGCAAATGACTTCTGAATGTAATGACTGCTACAATATTTAACAACTGCTAGTTTAATTTTATCTAAAATTCTTAAGCTGCCTTCTTTCTGTTTCTATCTATTATTCATTAAATACTTGTTTGAAAATCTCTTGCTAAACTGTGATTCAGAAATACCATGTTTGAAATCAGGTGATATTACCAACATGATGAAAACCTGCTTATGTTAATGAAATTTGTCAGATTAGGGCAGGAACTGACAGTAGCTTTTACTCTGCTGCTACAGGGGGCAGAGACAAAGAGCTCAGACATACCAACATGATTGCCACTAGCAGGAGTCTGGAGATCCCTTACCATAGATAATGGCAATACTCTATGCAGATGTTTGCAGAATACACAGCCACCTTCTCTGGGGAGGCAGCACCTTCCCCTTCAGCTTTGCAGAAATCTTCACACACAACTCTGCTCTCATGCTGAAGAGGTTCTGCAGAACTTCCTACCTGGCTGCCTATTAGACAGTTGATAATATTTAGAAATATTGGATAATAGATAATAAATAGAAATATTTTGGGATTACGTCTCAGCCTTTGTGAATTACTTGCGGCTCCACATCTTGCAGCCTAAAGCTCAGCCCTATTGTAAATGCAGGTGAACCCAATGGGAAGAAATGATGATGTCTGACTCAATTCAGAAGGCTGAATTATTATAATAATATATAATATTATAATATAATAATAAATTATTATTATTATTATTATTATTATTATTATTATTATTATTATTATTATTATTATTATTATTACTATGCTAAAATACATTAATATACTATATAAAAGGAGGATACTAAAACTACATACTACTTTTCTCTAACTCCAACACAACTCGTGACCCTCTCTGGAGAGTCCAGCCCCAGGTGAATTGGATTGGCCATCAGGCTCAAACAATCCTCACCAGAATCCAATCAAGCACTCACTCCAGGTAAAAAATTCTCCAAACAAATTCCACATAGGAAAAACAGGAGCAGAAATAGAAATGTTTTTATCTTTCATTTCTCTCTGTGCACCTCTATGAAAAATCCTGAGAGGGAGAGAAATGTGCTTGTCACAGTGCCCCAGTAAGCCCAAAGCTGAGAGCCCTGCAAGGGGGCAGGATTGTCCTGGGATGTCCCCTCGTGTTGGAGCTGTGGAGGAACTGAAGGGAGCAGCTGAGGCTGCCTCTGCCTCGGGCTCCCCGCAGGTACCAGGGAGAGCTGCCACCAGCTGCCCTTGCTGCCGTGGCTACACAAGACCCCAGGAAGGGACTGTCAGCATTTTGTTCCCTTTCCCATTGGAGCTGTGAGACCAGAGAGAGGGAATCTGTGGCTCTCAGGAGTAGCTAGGCGGGGTGCAGCTCAAGGAGTGAAAACCAGGCCGTTTATGCCACACAGGGGCCGTGTGCTCACCTGTGGCCACGCAGATTTGCACGAAGCTCTGCCCAGGGAAGCAGGGCTGCTGCCATCTGCTGTGCAATTTATACGGTCTTTGCCCTGGTGCGTTTATCCACATCCCGTTTCTGAGTAATCACTATTCAGGACTTAAAAGCATTATGAATGACCTCCAACCAATCTTTTAATTATCAACTATTATCATTATCCTTCCTCTTTGACAGAATAAGAGCTACTTTTCTACAAGGCATTTAAGGACCATATGTGCATAAATACCAGGAGGGCCTGGTATAAACATAGTGACAGTGCACAGATGAAAATTAAATGTCTCATCATGTTTGGAATTGATCTAAATCAACACAGCATTCAAAATGCCAAGAGCTCCCATGGCTCCTTAATACAAGGCTGCCACCAGCAGCTAAAAAGAATCAGTG